ATAACTAAAATAATATATAATTTTAATATTATCTATTCAAACAAAACTACGTAACAAATATTCAGAATCACTGAATTGTGTTTTCTCTTACTGCTTCTACTTACCGCAACGAGCGAAAGTTTTGTTACCGAATATATGTTTCAACCTCGAACACATGCCAAGTCGATTGTATTTTTTTTTCTTTAAATTCATAGTGCATCTTTGTAGATATAACAAAAATCATTTTAACTTACGGTACGATAATTAATTACAAAAATATTTCATTACAAACATTTAAGAAAAAAAAAGTAATAAATTAATCATATGCAAGAAAAAAATGTTAAATTATATTCTTTGAATGTAAAAATTCTTTAAATGTTATGATTCTTGATAAAATTGTAAGCACAAAAATTATTAATGATTATTAATTAGCAATAAGATTATTAAAAATTTTTAAAACAATTTTTAACGATTGTTATATTTATATTATTTAGCGGTGTAGTATATGCACCTTTCGTGTGCAGAAAATGCTCGAAAAAAAGAATAGAACGAAAAGAAATCATCACGGAAATCGTCGAGACTGAACAAAAATATGGAAGAGATCTACAAATTATTCTCGAAGAATTTCACAGACCCATGTTAAGGGCTGGCCTACTCACATCTGAACAGCTTACAGCGATTTTTCTCAATGTGGAAGAACTTCTCGAACACAATCTTGTACTCGCGGAGAAATTAAAATTCGCTGTGGAATTTGCTCAGGTAATAAAAAGTTATATATGTACTATATTTTATTACTTATACGCTATAAGTAAATTAACGTTTTGATTGATTTTAATAAAATAAAAATAAAATTGTTTAAAAATAAATAAAAAATTTGTAAATGATTCATAGGAGTCTGGAGATGAAGATCTTTTAACGGTAGATGTAGGCAAGATTTTTCTAGAGTCTGAACGGATGTTACATGCATTTGAAAACTATTGTACTCGTCAAGGAAGCGCAAGTTTATTGTTACAGAATTTGGAAAAGGAGAAAGAGCTGCTACGAATTTTTCTAAAAGTTTCACAAATGGAAAACACTGTTCTACGTAGAATGAACTTAAATTCTTTCTTAATGGTAAAAATAAAGTAAAATTAAAACATTATTTTTCAAATATTAAATATATTTTTTCATTGAAAACTTATGATAAATTTTCTTATATAAAATTATATACGAAAAAGGTTCCAGTACAAAGAGTGACGAAATATCCTCTTCTCTTGGCACGATTACTAAAAGCTACGCCTTCCGTACGACCAGATATACAAGAAGCAAAAGAGAGACTAAAACAGGCTCAAGCTAATATAGAATTACATTTGGAACATATGAATGCTGTAAATATATTATTTATATTTATTTATATATTATATTTATATATATTTATATATATAAAGTTTATTTTTATATATAAATATAAATTATATATGTAATAAATTTATTTAATAATGTAACAATAGGAAGCAAAAGACGTGACTTCGACGAAACTTTGGAGAAGAATTTCAATTATCCAAAATGGTAGACGACCGATCGGTGAACAAGATATGGTGAATATAAAATTGAGAAAGGTAATATAGATATATTTCAAAATATTTTTATAAATATATTATTATTATTTACGTAAATAAAAACTTTAATTATATATATTAATTATATACATATATATATTATATATAATATGACATAATTGAGCAATATAACAATTAAATAATAGATGGCCGTGGAAGTATTAGAATGGGCTCATGAAGAAGCAAAATTTGTATTAGAAGGACGTCTTTTAGTTGCTCAACCAACAGATAATAATTGGAGACGCGGACGTACTGTCAAACTTGCTCCTGTAACTGCTATGTTGGTTACTAATGGCAAAGTAAATAATTTTTATATGATTACATATAAATTGTATGTTCTTCATACAATTTATGCTTACATAATAATAATCTTTTTACAGCCAAATTCAGAGGATCTTGAATTTAACGATGATTCTCTCTTTCCAAGACACATTGGTATTAAAGAAGCTACTTTATTGTTAGTTAAAGAAAAATTCGGACGTTATTCTTTATTGCGAGTAAGTTATTTACACGCCTTTGAATATCAAATACCTACACAATTTTATTCTATATTAAAATAAAAGATTTTATTTATTTTAGGAACCATTGTATTTAGATAAATGTATAGTATGTTGTGAAACAGATCTTGAAGATTATTTCGAAATTCAAGAATTGTCGTCAAAAGAAACTTTTATTTTTAAGGTGAGATAATTTTTTTTAAAAACAATACTTTATATTTTGAAAATTATTTATTTATTCATTATAACATAGAATATTCAGATATTTCTAAAATTAAACTTTTTGAAAAGTTATTTTTTATTGCAATTTATCATATTATTTATCATATTATTCATTGCACAAATTGCAATATTAAATATATAGAAATATTTTTAACTGTTAACAATATTTCATTTATAAAAAATATTATCTTACAGGCCGAAGATGGCGCCAGAACAAAGAGATGGTGTAGAACATTACAGACACACGCACAATCTCTCGGTGCATGGCGCAAACGACGCGGAGCGCTGCCAAATATCATGATATGCGGTGTTGCAAGAAATTAATAAATTATATATAAAAAAATTTAAATTTAATTAAATACAATTATTATTTAAAAATATGATTCCTACATACGCACAAATAAATTTGTGCAATTGATTAAACTGGCGCATGATCTCTAAATGAATTAATAGTGACTTATCAAAAAGAACATATGTATTGGACCAAAGGATTTCTTCTGTTCATTGATAATATGTATCAATGAGTAATACGAAAATCTTGCGCAATCTATTTTGCGTTCGGTTACAGTACGTTGCAGAAACTTAAGTTTCCTACGTTGCTGTAGTAATTGTCAATATATTGTTTAATATATATATCATGAAATATTCTCTTTTTCTCTTTTTTTTAATTAACACTTTTTTTGAATACCGTATACGTATACTATACGTGTATATTGGATGAATAATTACCTACATAAAAGACTATTTAATTAATAATTTCATTGCAATTGAAAGAACAGAAAGTAGCTGTGATACTGACCAGTGTTATTGGGTACTTTTCGTCCGATTATATTAAATACTGCGATACGAATTCGAGCTTTTATTTCTATATACTTCATTTGTGAGTGGCACTTAATTTCCACAAGATCAAATCGATAATAATGTACATAATATTGAAAATGAGGTAATAGGGTTGTTATATTTTGTATCTATAATTTACGAAAACCAAGAAACTGCCAAATGTTTCATAATGACAGGCTTGATTTATAAATTAATTAATCTTTATTATATTTTATAATTATTTCTTAAATAATAATTAACAGTATTTTATGACATTTAACACACAAAGTAGAAATTGTATATTGTATTATAATTTTATTTAAGATCTAAGCCATGTTTTGTATATAGATGTATATTTATACAGAGATTGGTTTTGAACACATAATTGTTATTTTAAATCATTCAATAAAATTTAAATATACTTATTTGCATGCTGTACATTGCAGCATGATCTATAATTTTTTTTTATATCTACCATAATAATTACTTCCATATTTTAAAAAATATTTACTTACTTAGGTAAGTTATTATCCGATTGATATGATGATTATAATATATATTAAAGATTTATATAATTTCAAAGATCAAAATCATATTATCTTTTAATTTATATTCTATATTTTAATTTATTTTCTTATTAAATGTAATTAATAAGTAAGATATCTCTAAAGAAGATAATAAAAAGATTAGCATTAATGGTCAATCTTTAATTTATACTTATTTTTCTTGCTCTTCAATCAATTTTATTTATATTTATACTATAAAATTTATTTTTTTACTTATGCTTTTATTTATTAGCTATACTTATAACTGTTAAAAAATCTATGAATTCGTTTCATGCATTTATAAAATGATATGTTAAAGAAATTATTTTTAAAATATATTAATTTTATTAACTTTTGTAATTGAATATAATTCCTATACTCACTGAGATAATTTATATATATTAAATTATATACATATATTAAATACAATATTATATATAATATATTACATATATTTTTATTATTTTTATATTTTTATTTTTTATTCTTATATTTTTCTGTAATAAAATTATTAATTTTTATTTTTAAAAAAATTTAAGTAATTTCATCTCTTTTTCTAGTTATTATTTTGCCAAATAGTCTCTAGACAATTAATTGTTTTACAATTTTTTATTATTTTTTTTTATTATTTTATTATTTTGTTATTAATTCACTATATTATTTATGTTCGCTGTCAAATGAATGTCAAATTTTGCATTTTTAAAAACAATGCGAATGATACTAAAATTATAATGAAATTCTATAATCCTGATTTTGAGTTACAGGAATATATTATATGATTTTATTCTTACATCAGTTTGTAGCAAAAATAACAAACCGAAATAGAATGTAAAAATTGACCTTCAGTGCCATCTATTGATTACTAAAAACATTTTTCTAAAAATCATCTTTTTAGAAATATTTAAAAAATGGCGTTGATTCTCAATTCTGAATTTATTTTATTTTATTTTTGAAGAAATGTCTTTGACATTCAAAAGTTGACATTAATGATTAATTTTTACCTATCTATTTTCTCCTACCTTTGCTATCATTATTTATTGCAATACTCTGAAGATGCTGATTTTCATATTTTTAATTTATCTCTGTCTTTTTTCTATTCTTTTTTTTATTCCTGTCTATATTTGCTGTACAAAATTAATGTATTCAACGGACATTTGATTAACTTTATTGTCTTCTAAAATATGTACAAAATATTTATATAATATACAAAAATACAAAAAAATATATAAAATTTATTAAAATATAAAAATAATATGAATATATATATATGTAGTATACATTTTATTTACAATAAAAATATACAGGATATCTGATATAGGGCTATCCGTCTGCTAGAATTACATAGATTGAAATTTTATTATATTTATTATATATTTAGATATGTATTTAAATGTGAAGACTTCTAATTTAAATATTACCATCTTTATTATGAAGTAAGCGATATATTTAAGGGGTTCTCATATAACAATTCAATTATTCTTAAAATTTAGAACCCCTGATATGTCATAAACAACGAAGATGGCTTACAGTCAACATTTTGTTAATTGTATATGTAGATATGATATATGTTACTATTTACGAAATTTTTAATTCTGCTCAATAAAAATTAAAATTTGATTAAAATTATGGCTCAAGCGAAACTTAACTCGCAAGAAGAAACAAGTAACACGCTAAATGATAAAGAGAAAGAAACTGATGAAAAAGAAGGTATGTATTCTGAAAAAATTATTTATTTATTATATATAATCTATTAATTTAATCAATTTTATATCATAATTTGTTTAAAATATTTCATTTAATTTATAATTTATATATTATATTAATTTATATTAATTTATATTATAATATTAATCACAAATAAATTTTATTAAAAATATTGACAGGCTCAACAACAGTATTAGAATGTGCAGTTTGTCTTCAACCATGTATATATCCTGCAAGATTACCTTGCAATCATATATATTGTTATCTATGCGTCAAAGGTGTTGCAAATCAAAGTAAAAGATGTCCTATGTGCCGTCAAGAAATTCCTCCTGACTTTCTTAATAGACCACAACTGGTGGAAGTAGATGAAACACAAAAAGAATCAGAACATTTTGAAGAAGAATATCAATGGTTTTATGAAGGCAGAAATGGTAGAGTATTATATAAATTTATTTTAATTTTAAAATATATATTATAAATTATATATATATAATTATATATATATAAATAAATTAATATATATATTAATATGTTTATATATATATATATTAATATGCTTTTTATAATATATTAAACATAAGTATCACTATAGATAAACATATATTATATAAATGGTACAAAAATATTTAAAAATAAAAATTGAAAAAGCTTATTATTAAAATAATAAAATAGAATTATGATTAAATTATTAAAACATTATGAATAAAATTAATTTTACTAATAAATTAAAAATAAAAAGTAAATAACTTCATTATTTGTTAAAAACATGTGATGAAGTATAGAGAAGTTTATATCCTACCCCTTCATAGGTTGGTGGAAATATGATTCAAGGACCAGCCGGGATTTGGAGGATATTTACAACCTAGGTAGCACCCAATGTGAAATTTTAATTTGCGGCATGCTTTACATAGTTGATTTTAAAAATAATTGTCAATACAGAAAATATCAACCATATTATAAACGTAATATTAAGCGCGATAAAAAGGACGCACCATGCAAAGGTGTTTCAGGAATAAAATAATTTGTAATCTTATTTTTTATACCATTTTAAATATTGGCATAAAGTGTTTTTGATTGTACTTATAGTCATATAATTATTTATAAAACTATGTATGATATATAAAATATTATAAATTTTCATGTGAAATATGTATGACATAAAATTTAATAATTTTCATGTATGATATAAAAAGTATAAGAATTTCCATTATTTTGTTATAAAAAGATAAATATACAATTTAGTTTCAATATGTATATTTATAATAAAATTTCTGTATTCCAGAATATGTTATTTTTCTTTATGAATACCCTAGCTGAACTTAATAATTGATTTATTTAAATAAATTTTTTTCATTCTCATTATGAATGTCATAATTTGTGTAATTTTTTAAATTACATTGTTGCAGGTTGGTGGCAATATGATCAACGTACAAGTCATGAATTAGAAACTGCATATAAACAAGGCAAACGGAATTGTGAATTATTAATCGCAGGATTTCTTTATATTGCTGATTTTGGTTCAATGCTTCAGTTACGTAGAAATGATCCCTCTAGACGAAGAAAGATTAAGCGTGATTTATATAATGTACCGAAAAAAGGAGTTGCAGGTTTAAGATTAAATAATCAAGATGAAGAAATTACTAGAGAAGTAAGAGGAGCAGAAAGACCAGCTAGTCCAGCAAGTGATGATATGGGTATAATGATTAGTAAAATCAGTTGAAGTTTTAATTCTATTTGTAATAACTGTACTATGTTTATTAGTAATTATATAAATGGATATTATTATTTTATATTTAAAGGCACCGGAGATGGTACAAATACTCCAGTACCTCCAAGTAATACACCACAAACACCAGCTGGTGGAACAGCAAGTGGTGATGCTACACCCCTAAATGACAGAATGGAACAAAGAGACTCTTTACATCAGGTATTAGAACAAATGCGTTCCTTAGTTCTGAGAGAACATTTATCTTCAGATACAGATGATGAATTAGAGGAAGATGAAGAAAGTGAATCACCTTCCACTCATCCTACATTATAATGACTACAAACATCTAATAATTCCTATGCATCAGATGAAGATCATTTTCAAAAAATTTAATTTATTGAAATAAATGTGGCATTCTATTAAGTAAAAAATTTAATATAAATAGTATAATAAATTTGTGTACATGTTCAAAGATACAAAACATTTATATGTATTGTAATGTACTGATATGCAATCTGTACATTACTTTGTGATACTTATTAAAAACAAAACAATTAAGTACAATTAAGTCTTTCACAATTAAATGATTATTATTATTTCAGTAAATAATTATTTGAAATATTCTTTTGCATATAATGATTTTTCAATAATTGTTTTATAAATATGTATATTTGTAATTTTACACTTTTTATCATCTCCTTAAGAAATGTTCTCCAGAAAAAAAAAGTATCATTCCATATTCCTGTACTTCAATATTGATTTTACTTAATTGATATTTATGTAATTTTTATAATTATTGTTAATTACATTATAAAAGTCGTAATTTAAGTCATTGACAGTTAAAAATTTCTTAAATCTTTTTATTTTTAAAAAAATAACAATAATATATTATCTTTGAGCACACAAAATGTAACATATTCAAAAATTAATTATAAAAAATTAGCGATATTTCCTTGCTTGCATGTTCGGCATAACTAGCGCACTGCCATTTGCTCGCATTTGTTATCAGTATTTTTTATATTAGTATCTTGAATTTATGCATTATTACAATTTAAAAACATAATTTTCAATTGACTTGTTAATAATATTGTTAAAAATAAATTTGATAATTGTTAAAAATTGTGTTTTTCAAGCTTCATAGATAAAATGATTCTATTAATTTTTTAATGATAATAAATTATTTTTTATGCATTAATTATTTAAATATTGAATATAAAGAAAAATTATTAATATTAAAATAATTATACAAAATTATATAAATTACTTAAATATATTTTTAAAAACATCATAAATATTCATATTTAAAAATATGTGATAATTTCTCAAAAAATAAAAAAACATGTATATAAATGTAAAATATATAATTCATCTTAGATATAAAAATTTCGGATAAAAATGAAAATATATGTAAGACTTTTTTTCTTGTAATTTTTTATATGTGTCACATGTAGAGAATACAATGAATATATAAGTACACATTTTCGAAAATATTATTATATATATATCAATTTTAAATTCTTAAAAAAAAAACATTTGGTTTAAAATAAATGATATACAATATATATTAAATATATATTAAATTTCTGTTTAAGAGAATTAACTTATATAAATCAATAATTATTTTATTATTATGAAATTTCACTTAAAACTATTTTCAAATGCTGTAGTATTAAAAAAATTTTGCGAGGAAATTTTAAATATATCAATTTCATATCAATAATTCGATAATTGAAAACAACAACTTTAAAATTATATATATAAATAAATGAGTTTTTTCTAATATTAACATAAAATATTCATTAAGATTTTAATAAAAATGCAAATATGATATATAATATTAATATGATATCAAAATATTCTTTTTTTGAAACTATGATATTTGAACTCTATTTTACTCATTCTTTTTTAACAAATAAAGAATTAAATGAATTTTTAATTATTTTTCTCTGTTATAATATCAAATCGATATTTAGCGGGCTTGCATCGTAACGTAAAGAGGACTTGTTACACTATTAATTGAATAATTAATTGACTAATATATTTTAACATGTTCAAACATTAACAGTTTATTTTTAAATAAATTGTTTTTAAAATTTGCAACAATTTTTTTTTAAATTTCAGAAAATAAGAATAAAATTTAAACTTTTTATATTTTTTTTATATAATAATAGAATATTTTTTTCTGCTATTTGTTTTTTCAATTTTTTTCTAACCTCACTTTTCCTTTAATTTGATAATTTCCATTGCTCCTATTTCCTCTATTTCCTTTCTTTCTCTTTTAATCAGCTAATAATTTTATTTTTGTATTTCTATCTTTTTCTTAATAAAATTTTTTATTCTTTTTTTTTTAATATTTTATTTTATATTTTTATTTTTTTCATGTTCAATCACAAATCTATTACTAAATAATTACAACATAATATTTATCGACATCAATTTCATGAAATTATTCATTAAATAAAATGCAATATTCTATTTAAAAATTAAATATATTCTATTTCTTTCTAATCAAATTGCTAAACTTTAAAAAATTATTTAAATTATTTAAATTAAAAGAGTTTAATTTTTATTTATTATTAACAAAATAAATATGTTTTTTATTATACAATTGTTATATTTATTTCTAATAATATGCATATTATTGAAAAATAATTTTTTTTTTAATTTTATCATACATATATTATATTAAATTTATAATAATTGATTAAAAAATAATCAAATGAATTATAATATATACTTAATACATACTCGGTTAATATGGCATTCTATATTATTATTATATTTTAAATTATTATTTATATTTATCTACATTATTATTTTGTATTTTAAAATATTAATTTACAATATTATTTTTTATTCTATAATAACTTATTATTGTCTCCCACAATTTAAAATATATAAATTAAAATTGTTTTATGAATCTTAAAAAGTATAATCATTATATGATCTTTCAAACTAAAAAGTTTTTGTATATACATATATACATGTATATACGTTAAAATAAAAATTATTAATACTTTGCATATATAAAATATTAATGTGGAAATATAACATAAATATTACTTACATAAAATTATGTTGAATGCATTAAATGCATGTGTAAATATTTAAAACGATTATTTGACAGCTATAATTATTATCATTTAAAAATATAACCTTACATTTATATGTTTCTTTATTTAAATCTGGATTCATATATTTAAAATTTTTTAAATTATATATAGTTTCATAAAAAACATTGAAAAAAAAACAAAAGTATTTTTTTTTTTATTAATAACATCTTATCTTAAAAAATTTTTTCCATAATTATTATACATAATTATATATATTGAACAAAATAAGAAAGAAGAAAGAATTTAAAAAAATATTAAATAATAATAAAATATAAATATTAGAAAGAAATTATATAAAATATGTTTCATAAATATTTACTTATATATTAAATATTTTACAAAATTGAAAAAAAAAAATATCATTTTAATGTAAATTTCACATAGAAATAATATAAAAGTACATGAAATGAATGAAAACATATTCAGACAAATAAAAAATAGATTAAAATTAGAATGTTATTTAATGAATGATGAATGGTTAAGAGATTGTATAGAATTTTATATGAATCAACATAAAAATGTAAATATTAATTTTAATTTTAGAAATATAAAATTCAAATTATTTTTTTTATTTTATTACAATCAAATTTTATTTTCAGTCAAGTATGGAAGAAATATTACAATTTGTAAGAGGACAATGGCAACTTAGTGATTTACGTGAAATTAATAATGACAATGGAAGTTTACCTCCTAAGCTTTCAGAAAAAAAATTTATTATATTATCTGGAAATTATATCCTTCAGGTATAAATATTATATTCAAAATGATTATTTAAATATTTTTTTTATTGTTATTATTATCATTCAGGTAGAACAAATGTATAATATCACAAAAGCAAAATATAAACAATTAAAAGAAATTAGAAATGTTAATTTCTCAGAAGTAGATCCAGCTGAAGAAGAAATGATGAAAAAGATGACAAAAACTCATAAAAAAAGAATGATGCAATTAAAATTAACAGATGGATTACAAAATATAATTGGAATTGAATATAATCCAATACCTCAATTAAATGTATGTTAATGAAAATTATATAAATTATGAAATATTTTAAAAAAATAATTTATAAATATATAATTATATATAATTAACTATACTAAAATTAAATACTGATATTGATATATTCTTTCTATCAAGGATATGTTATTACCAGGATATAAACTTATGATAATAGGTCCTATAATATGTCGTAGAGGTGTATTGTTATTAGAAGAAGGAAAACTTAAAGGAATTGGTGGTGAAGTTGATAATTTATTGATACCTAATGCTTTGGAAAATATTTTAGCTAGAGCTCTGTGAGTTTAATTTAAATTGCTATGAATTGAATTTTAGAAGAAGTAATAAGAAAACCAAAACAAAAGTAAATTGTCAAATTACTTGAAACAAAATTATAATAATAATAATTTAATATATATATTTATCATTTGCAGAAATCTACCAGAAAATCCTGATCCTTATAATGACAATGAAATAAAGTCAAATAATATTCAAAAAGAAGAATCACAAATAGATGATAATTTTTTTGAAGAAGATTTTCAAATAAATTTTGAAAATATCTCAAAAAATACAAATTCACATAATAAAAATGAAGAAATAGTAATAGAATCACATAGTAAAAATGAAACTAAGATATATGATAAAAGTCCAATTAAAACAAAAATTGAAAATATTAATACAGAAATTAAAAATGTTCAAAATCATGAAGATGAAAAAATCATAGATGATGATGATTGTTTTTTAGAAATGGTTATTTTCATATTTTATTTTATGAAGAGATTTAATTAAGTTTTAATTAATATATAGATTATATTTTGAGATTTAATTAATTTTTAAAAATATTTTATTGCAGATTGATGAAAAACAATTTATAGAAACACAAGTAGAACAAAATATCATAACACCCTTTAAAGCTTTGCCAAATGAAGAAGATGATGATCTTATTATAATAAATGAAGAAGAAAAAAATAAAGATGTAAAGCATGATATTTTCAGAAGTACCATAAAAAATGATTCTTCACATTTATATCCTACATCCTTAATTACTAAAAAAAATGTTTCTGATTTAAAAGTTCAAGAAAAACAACAATGTTTGTTAATTAATAAAGAGATAAGTGTAAGTTATTGAATTAATTTAAATTTATTTATTTATTTTGCTAAAAAATAAAAATTAGTATCTTTTTAAAAATTTTATCTAAAATATATTTAATTATACAATTTCTCAGGTGTCAACATCTTCTTCTGAAACAATAACATTGAAAAAAAGTAAAATGGATAGACATATTACAGAATTTATAAAAGTGGTAACTGTTCCAAAAGAAGAGAAAATTTGTGAATTCATTCATGATATAAATAATGAAATAATAACAAATAATATCTTTAAAATCATTCGAGGTCATGTTGAAGTTCTTGGAAAATTATCAAAAAAAGACTCATTATGGATTTTGGAAGCTACAATAGCAGATGGAACTGGAACAATAGAAGTTTCTTTCTCAAATAAGGTTCACATTATAATTTATTTAAAATAAATTTTTAATTTATGAATGAATTCATAATAAATAAATTTCATTCTATGATTTCAGCTTTTAGAAAATTTATTAGGTTTTAGTGTAAAAGAATTTTCATTGAAGAAAAAATTGAAAAAAAATCCAGAAATTGAACATGAACTTAGAATGGTATTTTAAATCCGTATTTTTATACAAAATTTTATAATTTTCTAAAAATTTTTAAATATTTATAATTTTTAACTCTTTGCACTCCAGACCTATTTCGCTCGGTCGAACCAGCAACTCCAGACTCAGACCCGCGTATTAGATTATCATAAGATAAGATTACACCTCATAAGATTATATGTAAAGAGCTTAGGAATCTATTTATGAAACGATATTCTAAAAAAATCAAACATAAATAAATATTATCGTCATTCAAGTTGCTGCAACAATCTCAATAATGTCAGAGAGTCACCGCTAGTTACCGAGAGTTACGGCATTAACTCAAGTAGTGATCGAGAGTCATCGTTGGAGAGCAAAGAGTTAATAATTTAATTTCATATCAAAATAAATAATTCAAAAATAAGTAATAAAAAAAAATATAAATGTTTCAGAGTTTTCGTAATGCAGAACAAAAAATAAAAACATTGGATGCACTTTTGAAATTAGAGTTAAATATAAATAAAAAGCCAATAGTAATTGAAATTATGGATTTAACTCAAGAACAAAAAAAAATAATAGACAAAAGATTATCCAATTTTTTACTTAAAAATTACAAATAGATAAACTATAATATTCAGTAGATTATTTCATTAATTTTTATTAAATATTTTGATATACTAAAAAATATAAGTAATTTATAATGTATTTAATTATATTTAAACAAAATATAATATAAATTATAATTTAAAACCTGAATGAATAGCTACTATTCCACATGTCAAATTTTCATATGTTACATTTCTGAATCCTGCTTCTTCTATCATTTCCTAAAATGATTTAATATTTAAATATTAAATATTTTTTTAATAATATACACATAAATATTTCTATATTTATATTTTATTATTTACTTTAAAGTCTTCTTGTTTCGGGAATTTTCTAATACTCTCAACAAGATATTGATAGGGTTGCCATTCTCCTGCTATGAGTGTGCCCAAGACTGGTATAATTTGAAATGAATATTGATCATAAACCCTACAAATTTTATTTTGTAACATAAATATGTATTCTAATCATCCATATATACATGGTTTTTTATGTAATTTTTACTTTATATTAAATAATTACCATTTTAAAAAATTATTATCTACATGACTAAACTCTAAACACATGAAACGACCACCTGGAATAAGTACTCTGTATGCTTCAGAAAGTACCTACAAGCAATATTATTTTTCTTTTTTAAAAAAGTTAATTTTTGTAAGAATTTTATTTTATTAATTTTCTTATAATAAGACCATAAATATAAAATATAAGTATATTTATCTTTATTTAAAAATTAATTTAATATTATTAAAATATTATTATTATTAAAATCTAATATATGTTAATTTAATTTACCTTGTCAATATGTGTTACATTTCTAATTCCAAAAGCTATTGTATAAGCAGTATATGAATCATTTTTAAAAGGAAGATTTTCTGCATCGCTTTGTTGCCAATCAATATCAACATTATTTTGATTAATCCATCCTAATTTTTTTATTCTATCTTTACCAACTTTTAACATATTTTCATTTATATCACAAACCGTTACAGAACTTTTTAAATTTTGATGATTAAGAGTATTTTTTAAATAATTTAAATATCGAAATGTAATATCTCCTGTACCACCAGCTGAATCTAATAATTTACTGCCATGAGTTGGTCCAAGTCTTTGAATGAATATATCTTTCCAAATACGATGAATTCCAAAACTCATGGCATCATTCATTTGATCGTAAGAATTTGCTACTTTTTCAAAGACTGTATATACTAAATAAAAAAAAATTAATTTATTAAAAATAATAAAAATCAAAGAACTTTCTGTCATGATTATTACTAAAAAGTTATTAATTATTAATATCAAATTATTAATTATTACATTAAAAATTAAAAAAAAATAAAAAATAATAATATTAATAATAATATTTCAATTGAAATGAAAATTATATTAAAGAATATTAAGAAAACAATTTATTATATTTTAATTCTTTATGCACTTTACATTACATTTCAAACTCATATTTAGTGTAATGTTTTTTTATTAAAGAAATATGTTATTTTAAAGCAAAAATTATATTCCTTTTAGAAACAAAATATTTTATTATTTACAGTACGTACAAAGGAAAAACATAAAAATATAATTAAATAATTAAATAAATTGTAAAACACCTTCTTTCACTTTATCGCTTTCTTTAATGGTTTTGAATCCAAAATGAGTTACTTTCTCATTATTATTAGTTTCAGCAGTATCTGAGTAATACTTCTTAAATAAAAATATCATTCTTTTATTTTCTATTAAATTTAAAAGAAGCTTTTGTTTTTCAATCATTTCAAAATATTTTAACAATAATAACAATAGCAATATCAGTCATAAAAAATTAAATTATTTGTGAAATTATCAGTGAATTTTTTTAAGGTTATTTTAAATTTATAATTATTATATAAATATAGTTCAAAAATTGATTGTTGTCAAGACGATAGAACAAGAAAGATATTCTGCTTGCTAATTCATAGACATATAATTTATATGATGCTGTTTGTAAATGTGACAACGAAATTCACATATTAGATTCATAAGGAACAACCAATGAAATCTAGCTGTCAACTCCTGAATTCCCGCTCTATATAAGTATACGTAATATGTTTAATGTAACGTATTGTTATAACAATATTAGAATTCATAAGATAAAAAATTGTTATATATTACATATATTGTATTATATAATAGTTCATTTTAATTTTACAAATTGTTTATGAAAAAAATAATATACGTTATATTATACAATGTTAAAACAATTTAACATTTATTTTAAAAATGAAATAATATTTAGGAATTAATTATAATAAAATTATATTAAATGATTATTGTATATCTATATAAATAAAATTTAAATAGAATAATAAAATTTAATAATTATAAATTAATAAAAAATATATGTATATATTTTATATATATATATTTTATTCATCTATTTAAAAAACTATTTTTTAACTGTTTTTTTTTTTAAATTAAAATTCATTTATATTTTCTTTGAGTAACATTAAATATATTAAATAAAATTTTTTTTTTCGATATATAAATTAAATTTTCGCGCCATTTAAAGCTATGATCAAAGGTACTTTCATGTGAGTGATGAAAAGCCGGTCAACCGCCAGATTCTGATATTATTTATAAAAAAGAAATTTTATGAAAAAATTGTTAATTTAAATTCTAACGAAACGGATTAGAAGACATATTTCATTCTTAAGGTTTGTATTACTTTTAGTTCTAATGTTGACATAGATACATACATCTTTTTTATACGCAGTATCGTATAAAGAATTTTAGTTTTGGATATATAATTCAAGTGATACATGTAGTGTGCACATTTAATATTAAATAGAACAAACAGTAATATTTATTAGCCAAAAAAAAATGTTATGAAAATTTTTATTATATATACATTACATTATGTTGAAATAAATAAGTGATCAAATAATTTTTGTTAATAAAATATAAGATAGTTATGTGATATCTTTTAATGCAATACGGTAAAAATAAAAGATATTTGTTTATATTGATATTTATTAAAATAATATAGATAAAAAATAATGTAACTAGAACAAATATATAAGAATAGAAAGAATCGTAATCATATGATCTTCCGGTCGCATTATTTGATAAGTCGAAGCTAAGGTGGCCCAGTTTTAGTTAACGGTTAGGATTGAATAAAAATACTTTCGTGATATTGAAAAAAAACTTGGTATTTCAGATTACAAATTCATCTATGTAGTCAAATAAAATTTAATATTCTATAAAAAAGATATATATTATATAACGCGATGAGCATACAACAAAGTACTGAGTTGGTTATTTTTGTGACCCATGTTGAAGCAGAGAATTCATTTCTTAAAATCTGGGGTCAAGTTGATAAAAATTCTGCAACATGTGTAGAGCGTATGATCTTACCCTTGGTTGAACAATTTGCTAGAAGTCAAGGTTGTGTTGGATCTCAATCAGCCAATTTACGCATCAATGCTCTATGTTGTGCTAGATTCCAAAATGAAGGATATTATCGAGCAAAAGTTATTAATATACGTGCTGATAGCATGGTAGTTCTGCAATTCATAGACTATGGTAATATTGAAGTGTTACCACCTCAAGAAATACATTTACTTGAAAGTATACCTGGTTCTGAATCTCTGCAATCTTTTCCACCTGTGGCATTTGATTTTACATTAATGCATGTATTACCTATAAATGGTATTTGGGAAAATAATATAATCGAGTCAATTAAAAAGACTCTATGGTATAATGAATATAAAATCTTGATTCATACTGTGGTCAATAATCATCGTTTTATTAAACTTTGGTATAATAATGAAGATTTCAGTGAATTATTAATCAATAAACATATGGCAATGAGAGCAACATTGCAAGAAATGTTTAGGTATTTATTTTATATTCATAGATATTTTATTCAAATTATAAAATTTGTTTAATTCCAATAATATATTTTTTTTATATTTATAATTTACAATCTTTATTTTCTTTTATTTTATATTATTTATAATCTTATTTTTCATAATTTTATAAGTTCATTAGATACATAAATGCAAATGGATTAATAAATTTCATAAATTATTAAATTATTTTATTAAAAATATTATTAAAAATTTTTATAATAATATATTAAATAAATAAACAAAAATTTTATCTAATAAATTTTTTTAATTAAATTCAAAATAATATATAAATATTAGAATTATTTTTATTAATTTTTATATTTCTATAGGCCAAAATGTATACAACAATCTCAAGTACCAATTTATCAACCACCAAATAAACGTCTTATTAGTAATAATTGTACTACAATGCCATCAATGCAAAATATGGATCCATTACATGATGGAAATGAAATACATGGATTTCAAAGAAATGTTCCTTTGTGTTGTGCAGTTCAACAAAAACATATGATGCAAACTTCCATTCAAGAAGCTCTTGTATTTAAATCTCGTGTTTTGGATGTTCCATCAAAACATGATGTATATGTTTCATTTGTAGAAGATGGTCCACATAAGTTTTCTGTACAACTTCAAAGTACTTCTCAAATATTAAGTATGCTAATGAGAGAAATTAATAGTCATCCTATAGAACCATTACAAGAACCTCCTTTGCCTGGATCAGTATGTTTAGGTCGTTATACACAAGATAAAGTTTTATGTAGAGCTGTTGTAATGTCTGTTATGGAAAATAAGTGTAAACTTTATTATGTTGATTTTGGTCATACAGAAGTGTTACCATACACAGATATTTTCCAGTTACCACCTCATTTTATTAATCCAAGAGTACTTTCAATTCGATTTACATTAAGTGGTGTACATGAATTAAATGTTACTGATAAAATGAAAGAATATTTTAAACAAATAGTATCAGGAAAACTACTTGTATTGCATGTTCGACCACCAGAAGGACCACCTTTAGTACAATATGGTGACTTATATGATGATGGAAAAAATATAAAAGATATTTTAAGACAAGCATTTCCAACACCAGTTATAGTGACATCCATCAGTTCATCTTTTGCATATCAGAAACCAAAAAA